CGTGTCAAAACTTTTTAAATTATACAGTTTACTGCATGTCAATTATACCTCAAGTAGCTCTTATAAATAATGTAGAGGAAAAAATTACAATTGCAATTAAGTAATTCATTTGAACGTACTAAAGAGGAACAATAGTGCTATAAAGGTACGTAACATGGGGTAACATAGCTTGAGGAGTCAGAAAAGCCTCCTACAGATACTAGTATAAGCTAAGGTTTGCAGGGTGTTTAGTAATCAGCCACAAAAGAAGACCAGAGAGGAAAGAGGGTTCAAAAGAACGGGACCCTTACCAGGGAGCTTAAAGACCACTGCAGGAATAAGAGGAAATCTGAGTCTCATCTGTCACAGGAGCCAAACCAGGCAGACACGTGGTCTTGAAAAACCATGCTACAAGTAGCTTACTTTACCAATGTAGGATCTTAGAAACACTCAATCTAAATGATTTTAAAATTTCTACTACGTGGCTGGGGTGGCTCAGTTGGTTGGGCATCATCCCATGCACAGGGCACATGCCCAGGTTTGAAGCTGTTTTGCTCACACATCAAAGTCTCTCTCTCTCTCTCTCTCTCTCTCTCTCTCTCTCTCTCTCTCTCTCTCTCTTTTCTCTCTCTTCTCTCTCTTCTCTTTCTCTCTCCCCCTTCCCTCCATTGCTCTCTAGAACTCAATTTTTAAAATTCTACTATATGCTTTTTAATAATCAAAAAATGCATGAATATAAATTACATATTATGAATTAAAAATAAAGAAGACCTAGGAACAGGAAATATTCTATTTAACTTTAAGGTTACTGATAGTTTCCATACCATTAATAAAAAGGACTCCAAGGTACATGTGTGTATATAAGAAGCTTAAGCAAAACATTTATACTTTTAACCCTACTTCTGTTTGCTTATAATAGCAACCTCATTCCTAATATTATATCTTTGGTTTGTTGTCTCTAGAAATAAATACTTTCATTATAAATGTGTGAAATTCAGTATCCATATTTGACTAACCTATGATTTAAAAAGTATATACAGTGAACATGCAATAAGATTTAATAGATTATTTTAAGAAAATGTTCACTAAATGTTTTAATAGTAAAGTTACACTTGCAAATTATTCACAATATAATGAGATATTTTCCAAACTCAGAGCATTAATTTAGGTTATTTTGTTTGCCTAAGAGAAATCAGAAGTCATAGGTTCCTAAGTCACATTAGCAAGAAAATGTGTAAGTTGGAACACAGAATATAAATATATAAATATAAACCTCAACTACTCTGCAAAAATAATTCTAAACAACCAGCTTCTAAAAGAGAATGCTGTTTATGCCAATGAATTTTGTAGCAAAATGTTTTCTAGCCTGCCATACTAAGCTACTCAAGTAAATACAATTTGAATTAGCATATATCGTATCCTTGATTACTGTATTTCAAATCGCCTTCACCCTTTCTGATTCTCAGTCCTAAATCTTCCAGGTTTGCTGAAGCGGCAGATCAATGTTCATTCTGTTTTGCCTATGTGAGGAACGGCTTATAAATCCTGAGTGTTTTATTCTTTTCAAGTGGAAACAGACGGAAGCCTGGAATCAATGCTAAGGGAACTGAAGTACCACTTTGGATATCACATTTGCTTCTGCATTTCTCCCCCAGCCTCCAATCTTCCATTCTACAGAAGCATCTGAAGAACACTTCTTCCTTAGATCCCTCCAGTGGGGGGGGGAAAGCGAAGTTACCATGGAACCGGCCAATTAATTTTGACACCTGCTTACCAAGACCCATCACTCCTGATGCCTGTTTGTTTGGGTTGCTATCCTCCAGTTCAGTAAGAGACTTTCAGGATAATTAATGAAGTGAGAATTTCCACTTAAAGTCTCTCCCACTGTGTTATTACTTCACGCCACCATCCTCAAATAAACCTTTCTGGGCTCCACGTGTCCTTTACCAGGAAGCATTCTTTTCTTCTAACTTGAGTCTTCCCTTTGATAGAAAATACCACATTTTCTTACCCCTAACAGTACACAGCCAAACCCAGAACTGTACGAGTTATATGTTCTCTAATTAATAGCTTGTATTCCACAGAGAAATGAAATGTATTCTACTTATCAACAGAATACAGTTTCCAAGGAAATGAAGAGCATTCAGTGATTCGTTCAGGGTTGATGGTTGCCTGTATCTATACGGAAAAAAGCTATTCCTGTTTTACTCACGAATGGGCTGTGCTTACGGACACCATCTCTGTTATTTAAACTCGCTTTAACTTGATCTGCGATCTCTCCTACTGTGACAGCATCTGCTGGTGGGACAACATCTGCTGGTGAGGCTACAGGCTGCTGATCTAGCTGATTCAAGAGGCCAATACTACACACAGTAGACAGGCGCTTCCCAGGACGGTAGCAATTTTATCCTTAGACAGATGGAGCGAATCCGCCCACACGAAGGCCAATATCCCTGAATTACACAGGAATCAGCCAATCTTCTTAATTATGTACAAAGAGATGTAAAAAAAATGGGTATGTCTTTTTTCATTGCTGGCTCCCAGTTCGTAGGTTCAAAATCTCTCCTGTTCAATAAAGAGATTGGCTACTCTAGTCAGAACAAAAGTTTAAGAACACTTAAGTAAAAAAGGCTAGCTAATAGGCATACTTCAGTATGATACCTTTCCTTATCTTGAAACTCTTTTCTAAACTTTAAATTGTCATCGCTCCCAAGATTTTTTTTTTAAGAAGTGTTTTTTATTTTATTTTTAATGTGTTTTTATTGATTTCAGAGAGGAAGGGAGAAGGAGAGAGAGATAGAAGCATCAGTGATGAAACAGAATCATTGATTGGCTGCCTCCTGCATGTCCCACACGGGGGATCAAGCCCACAACCTGAGCATGTGCCCTGACTGGCAATCAAACACTCAACCACTGAGCCACACTGGTCAGACAAAGAAGTGTATTTTTTTTTTTAAGTGTCTATAATAATAAAAGTGTAAAATATGCAAATCCACCAAACAGCTGAACAGCAAGACGACCATGCTATGACACCCACTGGCATCAGGCCAGCCAAGGTGGGTGCGATGCGATTGGTGGCAGGAGGGGAGGGGGGCCCACCATCACCCCAAAGAGCCTCCCTCTGCGGGCCTATCAATGGCCCCCTCCCCCAAAGCAATCAAGGGGCTCCAGGTGCAGGCAGGACTGAGCTCCCCGCCCTTCCACCCTCCCCCACACACACACACACACACAAATTTCATGCACCAGGCCTCTAGTACTACTATACTAATTTGTGAAACTGGGAAACATTTCATCCTATTGCTACACATGAAGTTCATGAAATTTCATTTTGAGATTTCACTTCCAAAAGCCTGTCATAAATTAAATAGTAGGATCTACCTAAAATTTTAAAAAAAATTAATTTTAAAAAACTATTTTTAAAAAATAAATTTTTACATTGAGCTTTAGGGGCATTGTTTTAATCAGTAACAGAGAAAAAATAAATAAGAAAAATATACTGGGTTTAGAACTCCCAGGAAACTTTCCTATAAAACCCTAACAAGGCATGTTCACCTTGATCTTAGAACCTAAGAGACATTTCACTTAGATTGTGCTATCATCCTAACCATAAATATTAGTAATCTACATAAAGTAATTTCAGAGCCATAAACCAAGCAGAAAACTTTGTTAAATATCTAGAAGGATAAGAAGACGACTTACTCAATGACTTAACTGCAATGACTCAACAGCTACCCTGATGGCCTCCACTATCTTATTTTCTGCTCCCCCACATTTACCCATTTCTTTTCAGATCAGGCAGGAATGAATGCAATAAATATCCAATAGGGAGAAAGCATCTTTACTATTTTAAATGCACATTCCTAGGGCCTTGAGTTTCAGAAAAACCAAAGCCACCTGACCAGTGACAGTGGTTGGGCATCCAACTATGAACCAGGAGGTCACAGTTCGATTCCCACTTAGGGCATATGCCCTCATTGTGGGCTCAATACCAAATAGGCAGCGTGCAGAAGGCAGTCAATCAACGATTCTCTCTCATCACTGCTGTTTCTATCTCTCTCTCTCTCTGTCCCTCTCCCTTCCTTCCTGAAATCAACAAAAATATTTGGGGGGAAAGAAAAAGAAAGGAAAACCGAATGCTGCCATACCACAGCTGACAGGGACATAAGCAGTTAGGAAACCCCATCATCATCCCCACATTAAAAAGCCCGGGCATTTCCTTCTTCTTCTATCTAACCAAAAATCACTCTCTCGTTTCTCAGTTTCAGAGTGTCCCGGCAAATTCAACACACTGTATCGGCTAACAGGAAACATTCTAGAGTTAAGCTGGCCGATTTGCAGTCACCAATCGGCCCTTCTCCTGTGTCATCCTGGGCAAATTACACCCACTGCCTCGATTTCTCTCCGTCAGTCCATTCTCTCTCTAGCAGCTCACTGCGTTGCTGGTGAGAAACAAATAAGATCATCCACGCTGGGCGCTTAGGACGAACGGTATTTGGCATAGAGTAAGCCCATCCTTCACTCCACTTAGAGCCATTATCAGACCTAAATAAAACATTCGCAGTGGCTCCTTCCAGACAGAGCCCTAGGATGGGAGGGATGGAGGGAGGGGCAGGTCCTGGGGGACCACAACTTTTCACCTTGGCGCTTCTGCATGTCCTGATGCCCAAGGACTGGAGGAGTTACTTGCATAATTTTTCGATTAAAAAAAAAAAAAGGAAAAATGTGTGTGTCCTAACAAAATGGTGTTTGGCACTGTCATGAGCGTGGAAATCTGGATCCGCGGGGGGGACCAGGAGTCGCTGCGGGCACATCTGGACCATGGGGAACGCTGGGCGTGCAGAGCGGGTGGGTGGTCCGTGCTCCGCGCGGGGCCAGGAGGGGGCGGCGGGTCCGGGACCCCAGGCCGCCGGGGGAAGAGGGGGGTAAGGGGGGGGGGGGGAACCCGGGGACCCGGAGGCCGCGATGGGCGAGGGGCAGGGCAGGAAGGAGGCTCGTGTCCCGGAGCCCGCGATGGCACTTACTTGAACCTGCCCTGGCAGTGCTGGCACTGGTCCCCCACCCAGCCGGGCTCGCACAGGCAGGTGGCGTTGACACAGCGGCCGGAGAAGCAGGAGCCGGTCCGGTCGCACGGCTTGCACCGGGACACCTGCGCGCACAGCGCCAGGTAGAGGAAGCCGTAGCGCAGCAGCCAGCGGCCCCCGGCCGGCGGCCAGAGGGAGGCGCCCCCGCCGCCCGCAGCCCCAGCCCCAGCCCGCGCCCTCCGGGGCCCCGCCGGCTGCGGGCGGCCCGCGCGATCGGGGGGTCCCGGCTCCATGTTCCTCCTCGGCGCCCCCGCCCGGGGGACGCTGCGCCCGCGGCCGCGGACGGGGATGCTCCGGGGGAGGAATCCGCCCGGAGGAAACCGTGCTCTTCACCGGCGCCGGCCCCGGCCCCGCTGCCCCGGCTGGAGGCTCAGATCGCCTCCGCTCGGCGCCTTCCAGCCGTGCTCGGGCATCGCCTCCCCGGCTGCTGACCTTGTCCTCCCCCTCCTCCTCCTCCTCCTCCTCCTCCTCCTCCTCCTCCCCGGCCGGCCGAGCCCTCCCTCCGCCGCGGCGCCCCGGGCCGGGCTGGGGGCGGGGTGCAGGCGGGCTGCGCGGGGCGCTCCGGAGGGGGACCTGCCGGAGGGGGACCTGCCGGGGGAGGGGACCCCGCTCCTCGCGGCCCCGCCTCGCCCGTGGCTCGCGCCAACTGCCTCCGCTCCGAGCCCCGTGCGCCAGGCAGGGCGGGGCCCGGAGCCCCGAGGTGGGCGCGTCCAAGCGGCGAGGGGGGTGCGCGGAGCGGGGAGTCAGCCTCGCACCTCCCGGCGGGCGGCCGATGGCCCCCGGCAGCCAGTTCCGCTCTCGGATCGCTAACCGGCCACGATCGCTGCAGCTGGAGCCTGCAGGGCGCCGGACGGCCGCCCCCCGCCTGCCGCCTGCCCGCGGCCCCCCCAGCCCAGGGTGATGGTCTCGCCCCGCCTTCACGCGGATCCGGGACTCCCCCGTGCGCGCCCCCCGCCCGGCCCGGGAGCCGAGGGGTGGCCGGCCCCCAGGTGGGAGCCGCGCTGCCGGGGAGCCCGGCCCCCCGCGCCCCACGGGGCCCCCTGATCCCCACACGGAGGATCAGCTCGGGACCCGCTGGGCAGCTTCAGCAGAAAGAAGCCTCCGCGCCCGCCGTCTGCGCCTGCAAAAGTGCAGCCCCCTTTCCTGGGGCTCCCCGTCCCTCCACCCCATCCTCCTCCGGCCCGTTTCTTTTTCACTTCTTCGCTTTCTTTATTTGTTTGGGGTTTTTTTCTTAAAAACTCCAACTGCACACAAAGAGCTGAGCGTGGGCAGCACGTTGTGGGGTTCGCAGGAGCTGGGAGGGGCTGGGGTTGGGGACTGGAGGACCGGGGACTCCCCGCCCCCCTCTGAGGTCCGCGGGATTCAGTCCCCCCCCCCCCCCCCCCCCGCGCCCAAGTCGCCTGGGAACCCCAAGTTATCGCCTTTGCTGCTCCTCAGTGTTTCCTCCTCCATCTGGGACAGTATTTTGCCTTGAAAAATATTGCAACATCGTGGCCTTTTTTTTTTTTTTTTAAGAAGAGTAGAAAGGATGCCCAAAATGAGCCCCTTAGCTTCCAAAGCGGCAATCTTGCCTCCTTCAGATGACTTTCCAAGATTTGATGGCACATGCTGCTGACATGGTTGCTTTGTACTTTGGAGCCTTATTGGAGCCCTTTGAGAAAGAGCCCGGCTAACAAACTGCAGCCGCGTAGCCTCACGTTTCTGCAAGGTTACTGGACCCCCTCCAAAGAAGAGCCGGCAGGACCAAAAGGAATCTGGAATCCGCCAGAGGCATTTCTGACAGCAAATGGAGAAGAGTTGTAGTTGTGACCACACAGTCATAATATTATTGTTGAGATTCAACCGCGTGTTTATTTGGGGCATGATGTGCCCACGTCATCTCCTCTAATCTCTGTGATCCCCACTTGGCAGATGAAATCCGCCATTAACCCCATTCCACAGATGAGCATAGAGACTGGGCAAGATTTATCAATGGCAAAGGAGGAGTAAAGCAGTGAACCAAGCTTTCAACACTTGCGTGCTTTTTCCCGGTATTTACCAGGCTGTTTCTATCAGCAGATGCTTTGAATACATTCACGGGTTGGCTTGATTTGAAAAGACTTCAGCAGTAACTTGAAGAAAACAAAGGTCCATAAAGAGGTGGCTCCTTGGAAAGTAGAAAAAGAAAAACCATGATTTTTATTTATATAAGAAAAAAAAAAAATGTCACAGTTCTCCCATAAAACCAGTATTTGAAATGGCATCCTCAAACCTTAAAATAGGGGTGTCGAACTCAATCAGAGAAGGGGCCAAAATCTAAAATCCAGCCTAAATCGCGGGCCGAATGGTTTACTGAACAGTCATAAACTGTCATTGTGATGGAAACGCAGCGGAGTGCAGTGATGACAGCGCGGTGCGGGCCACATTGCAAGGCCTGGCGGGACGGATTTGGCCCGAGGGCCTTGTGTTTGACACATGTGCCTTAAAACTTAAGACAGCCCCTTCTTCCTTCCACATATTTTCTATACCAAGATGATTCTTTGAGAGCACTCAGGATAGAGGAAGAAGAGAAGAGAACATTCTGCATTCCAGCTGGTGTGGTTCAGTGGTTGAGCATTGATTGACATATGAACCAGGAGGTCACCCTTTGATTCTGGTGACTTTTTTCAGCTCGATCTCCCAAGTGGGGCGTACAGGAGGCAGCCGATCAATGATTCTCTCTCATCACTGATGTTTCTATCTCTCCCTCTCCCTTCCTTTCTGAAATCAATAAAAATATATTTTTTAAAACATAAGGAAAAAACATAAAAACAGGATGTTCTCCTGGATCACACCTTTCAATTTCCATGACTTACCCAGAACTCTTTCTGGTATTAGCCATATCTATACAATTTCTGCTGCCTTCTCCCTTCTTCTCCCATGCCAGCCAAAGTTTAAAGGCAGCCACGTCTTTCTCACATCTAATGTAGAGTTGCTTTCAGGCACGTGGAAAGAATCCAAGCCCTTAAAAACATCAGTGAGTGTGAAGGCAATTCAAGTCGTACAGTGTAGCCCCTTTAACAAGAGAGATCACTGTTCAGCCACGTACTGACTGACTGCAGCCTATATTCCAGCTAAGGACCTGCCCATTCAAACATATCTCTGACTCATAACCATGATAAGCAGCTCAGTACTTCGTATTACATTGAAGAACATGCAGCCCCACAGGCCTGTTCTCAACATATTTAGAATCAAGTTGACCCTATTAAAGTGATACAAAATGATTCTCATTGGGATCTCACAGGGTTTTTCCACTTGCCCTGTGGCCTGCTTCTCTTGGAAATTCTTTCCGTCAACATTTACTGAGAAACTATTACAAATTTAAGCAAGAGAAAATAAAAATGAATACAACTTGAGTCATACTCCTGGATAGGCTTATCTTTTATGAGGCTCACTAGATTGCAAGTTCCTTCTACATGGAAGTGTTACAGGTTTTACAGAGATAGATACCGAAAACTTGAGTGATTTACAGCAGTCGCACAAAAACTCAGTGATAAAGCTCGCCTAGAGTCTTGACTGATGTTTCCCTATCTTCTATGATCAAGAAGTTTTAAAACTCCAACATTATATTGTCTCTTTTTTTTTTTTTCTAAAGAGGTAGAGTCAGCATCCTAGCAGTGCTAGATGACACTACCATAATTCATGGTATTGGTAATAGCACTCATAAATCCAGCAGAAATGTGAAAATTTACTCCAAAGACGGTGAGGAGGAAGTCAGTTTTCCAAAAGCAGAATGAAACTGTTACGATCAGAATTACTTGCTCAAATGTCTCCAAGGGGAATGGTAAGAAAAGTATATTTGTTTTCTCTACAACTAGCCTTATGTCAGGACCTGTAGCTATTTTGGGGAGTGTGTTTTATCCATTCTACCATTTAACAATGGTACTACAATATGATGGGCAAAAACCTAAAACTTCACAAATTATTAGAAGGAAATTCAAATGATTTTTTTTTTAAAGAAGAGAAATGGTAGGTCCACTGATCTCTTGATTGCTACTGAAAAAGTAAAAGATCCTATAAGGATCAATAAACCAAAGCATCCCCTCCTTAGTTGCTTGAATGAAAAATGATCTCTACTCTGGTTATTTGTTCACCGTGTGATCCAAGAGCAGCCAAGATATTGCCAGCTTGCGATTAAGGAAGTATTTTGAGAGCATGAATAGTCGGTGAGATTACACAGTAAAGAAAAAGTCATCTTTAGATGCTCATTAAGAAATTATAGATGGTATTAAAAATGTTTATATGGTGATATCTGAAACACCACCCTCCCTCCCACTCCAAATCTGATGCTGCTTTTTCTTTCCTTCTGATTCATTCTTTCGTTCTACTGATTCCTCTTGCTGTCGCACTCGCAAACACACATACACTCTGATCCTGCCAATTTTTCTACTTAACACATTTCAAACATATTGTTATAAGTAAATCCAAGGAAATAAATTCAAAGAGTCCAAATTCACTATGCAGGGCTAATACATTTTATAAATGGGAAATAAAATGAGCATCCTTAAACTTTTCATCCTAAATATTCAAACTTGTTACAAAAAAAATAAATAAATAAACACACAGTTGGTCGCTAGTAGTAATTACAGAAATTTGACTTTTGTGACAACTAATTCAATAAAAATATGAACTAGGACTTCCTGCTAAACATAGTGGATTAAGTATGTGCATGAACCTGTTCTAAACTCTACTAAAATGACAGGAAATATTTTTTTTCAAAGCATAAACTCACAATGACAAAGAAAATGAGGAAAGCACCAACTAGCAGTTGAGAAGGGTCAATGCATTTGGAAGAGTCAACGTGTTGGAAGGAGGAAAGTAAACGGAGACATGGTAGCTAACATATGCATGCTTGCACAAATGAATAACAGTAACTAGCCTGTTTCTCCTGAACAGTCCAGGAAACCTCAGGACTCAGAGGCAAGCCATTCCATGGAGAGTAGAGGTGGAACTCTAACATGAACACAAGGAGAATGGTTGAGAGCAATATAAGGACCCACGACTCCCTTTTTTACCCCAAGTAGCTAAAGATTGGTCCAGACCCTATCCTGTTGGTTTAATCTATTGAGAAATGGAATCAGAGTCTCTAGACTTACAGCACTGGGCATAATAGAAGAAAGGAATGAGGTACACAGCTGAAGATGAAGAGAAAGGGGCCCTAAATTCAGAACTCTCCAAGCCATTGCAAGACATGGAATAGGCTTCCCTAACTCTCCTGGTTTGGACGTTGAAAGAAATGAGGACATGGGGAAGATGAAAGGCCTGGGAGCCTTTTCTCTATTCCAAGAAGTCATTTGCTGGCACCTTCCTGTAAGAAAAGGGAGAAAGGAGCTCTTACAATACAGTAGTCAGTAAAAATGAACAAAAGTTTAGATTGAATCGGGTAACAAAAAAAGGAAA